AAAAAAAAAAAAAAAAAAAAGAAATGTGGGTAGGAAAAAATGTTAAGGTCTCAGAAATAGAATTCAACATGATAAGATGTACCATGTTCTTGAATAGAAATAACCAACATCACCAAAATGTCATCTTCCTAATTTTTTAATTTAAAGCAATCCCAATAAAAACACTCTAACAGGTTATTTTTTTTTTTCTCTCCAGAAGACCACATGAGCATCCAGGCTAATCCAGTAGCGAATTGCCCAGCCAACCTCTAGGATCATGAGAAAGTCAGTCATTGTTTAGGCTACTAAATTTTAGGTGATTTGTTATATGGCTATAAATAACTTGTACAACTGTGTATCAAATGAAATGAAAATTTATGAGCTGGGAAAGGTAGATATCATTAACTAAAAAAAAATGGTCGCAAATAATATGTACAGGATAACCTCATTGTGATAAAACACATACATGCAGACACATAAACAAAAAGATCTAGAAGGATATATACTAAGTAATAACAAAGAGATATATAATAAACTCTGGTTAGTGAAAATATGTTTTTATGTTCTTGTTTTTGCTTTCCTATATCTTCTCTATACATATATACAGCTTTTACAGTAACAGAATATTTTTTTAAATGTCATTTCAAAAAAAAAAAGATTTACTCAGTTATCAGATAAAGGGTCAACTGGATCCCAGCTAGACATGTAAATTCTTGCTTTAAGTTCACAAAAAAACTAGAAAAAGTCAATCAATAAACTTCTGGGGACTGTTATGGGCTGAACTGTATCTCCCTAAAACTCGTATGTTAAGGCCTTAAGTCCCAGGACCTCAGAATATGACTGTATTTGGAGTTAAAGTGAGGCCATTATGGTGAGCCCTCATCCCATCTGACTGGTGTCCTTACAGAAAGAGGAAATTTGGGAACAAAAAGGGACACTAGAGGCTTGTGTGCACAGAGGGACGACCAGGTGAAGAGGCAGCGAGAGGGCGGCCATCTGTCAGCCAAGGAGAGAGGCCTCAGAGGAAACCAACCCCCCAGCTCCCTGACTGTGGACTTGCAGCCTCCAGCGCTGTGCGAAAATAAATTTCTGTTGTTTAAGCCACCCAGTCTGTGGTATTTTGCTGTGACAGCCTTAGAAGACTAACACAGGGACTAACGAATAGCACAACATTTGGAAAACTGACCTAGTGTGTGTAAGAACACTTCCACAAAAAAAAACTGAACGATAAAGAGTTAAAGTCCTATTCTAAATTTCTAAGGTTTTCATCTTTAAAGTCAAATAACAACTACTGTAAATATGACAGAAAGAAATTGTATTAAATAAATCCATGTGGACGGGAGACAGCAGGACGTGCTTTCTACATACACTGCCTGACTTATTGTGGAATGAATATGTTGTCTAGTCCACCTTCCACTCTTGAGTTGGTGCAAGAAATGGGTTTTCTTGTTCTTCTGTGGGTTTATTTATGGGCCACTGACAAAGAACAAAAATAATGGAGAGCCAACAACTAAAAAGCAACGTGATTAATGACTATTGTTTTTTAATCAAATATAAAATATTTTGCTCATCTACTTTTAAATTAAAAACATGATTTATAAAAACTACACTGCTTACAATAAATAATAAAAAAAACCCATAGTGAGTACAGTTAGG